ATTTTAAAACAATCCACAACATATATTTTTTTTTTAAGCGAATGATCCTCTGTGGACAAACCATTGTTTAGTAGCCTATTTTGAATGATTTTATTTATTTCTGTATAGACAGGAGTAGGCTAACTAGGCTATATAATTTTGGCAATTTAATTAAATTTACTTTAGGGAAAGCTTCCCTTAGCCTTATGGAAGAGTGGCCTATGCTTACACATTAAAAACCTTGAAAATGTAACCTCAATTCACTATTTGACTGCAGGCTAGGGATTACATGTTTTTTTTGTTTTTTTGTGGGGCATTCTAAATCCAAAATAATTCCACACATATATTAGTAGGCTATATGTAAAGATTAAATTAAGAATAGTCTGATGGGTGAGAATATTATCAAGTGCTTGTCAAATTGTGAATGAGAGACTGATGAAGTGTGTGCAGCCTGCACAAGAAACAGAGCAGAGCTCATGCCTTTCCATGCAACTTTTTTCAAATCATCATTAGTGGCATCATGCAGCCTTAGAATCTATTAAAAAATCAAAACATATAGCCTAACGTTTTTCACAACTGAAGTATCATAAATAACTATAAATTAAGCATATACAGTGCATTCGGAAAGTATTCAGACCCCTTCCCTTTTTCCACATTTTGTTACTTAACAGCCTTATTCTAAAATGGATTAAATTAATGTTTTCCTCATCAATCTACACATAATACCCCATAATGACAAAGCAAAAAGAGGTTTTCAGAATTTTTTTCACATTTATTGAAAAACAGAAATACCTTATTTACGTAAGTATTCAGACCCTTTGCTATGAGACTCGAAATTAAGCTCAGGCGCATCCTGTTTCAATTGATCATCCTTGAGATGTTTCTACAACTTGATTAGAATCCACCTGTGGTAAATGCAATTGGAAGTTTCACCTTCCAACAGGACAACGACCCTAAGCACACAGCCAAGACAACGCAGGAGTGGCTTCGGGACAAACCTCTGAATGTCCTTGAGTGGCCCAGCCAGAACCCGGACTTAAACCTGATGTAACATCTCTGGAAAGACCTGAAAATAGCTGTGCAGCGATGCTCCCCATCCAACCTGACAGAGCTTGAGAGGATCTGCAGAGAAGAATGGGACAAACTCCCCAAATACAGGTGTGCCAAGCTTGTAGCGTCATACCTAAGAAGACTCGAGGCTGTAATCGCTGCCAAAGGTACTTCATCAAAGTACTGAGTAAAGGGTCTGATATTTCCGGGGGGGGGGGGATTATTTATAAATTTGCAAACATTTCTAAAAACCTGTTTTTGCTTTGTCATTATGGGGTATTGTGTGTAGATTGCTGAGATTATTATTATTTTTTAATCCATTTTAGAATAAGGCTGTAACGTAATTTTTTTTGGAAAAAGTCAAGGGGTCTGAATACTTTCCGAATGCACTGTAGAAGGACCTGTTTCTTTGTTAACTGCTCAACACAGAATAGCCGCATGTGCCACTCCCTGTTTTCTTCATACTATAAAATAATATCAAATAACGCAACGGAATTATAAGCAAATCTTGCCTGCTAAATGTACTAGTGTAGCCCAAAGCCATATGGCATAGCCAGATGAGGGCCTAAAATAAGGACAACTCAGAATATGCTATTCTGTTCTTCTGAAATATGTTTCTTTTGACCTGTCTAAAATAAATAATGGATTTATTGTGATGGTGTAGGCTATATTAAATGGATTTATTATACTTTTTAAAATGTAGATGTTCCAAAGGTCCACATCAGTGGCTTGTAGCTTATGCGTGGAAGCCAGGAGATGCTAATAGTGTTTTTTAATTAACGGTTAATTACCGTGAGACCGGCAGTTATTTGCATGACAACCACCGGCTGACAAAATTTGATGACCGCCACAGCCCTATGCACAACCGAAGATTTTCTACACAAACTGTCTGAGACTGTCTCGGGGAAGATCATCTGCGTGCTCGTCGTCCTCACCAGGGTCTTGACCTGACTGCAGTTCGGCGCCATAACCGACTTCAGTGGGGAAATGCTCACCTTCGATGGCAACTGGCACGCTGGAGAAGTGTAATCTTCTCGGATGAATCCCGGTTTCAACTGTACCGGGCAGATGGCAGACAGCGTGTATGGCATCATGTGGGCGAGCGGTTTGCCGATGTCAACATTGTGAACAGAGTGCCCCATGGTGGTAGTGGGGTTATGGTATGGACAGGCATAAGCTACAGACAACGAACACAGTTGCATTTTATCAATGGTAATTTGAATGCACAGAGATACCATGACGAGATCCTGAAGCCCATTGTCGTGCCATTCATCCACCACCGTTACCTCATGTTTCAGCATGATAATGCACAGCCCCATGTCGCAAGGATCTGTACACAATTCATGGAAGCTGAAAATGTCCCAGTTCTTCCATGACTTGCATATTCACCAGACATGTCACCCATTGAGCATTTTTGGGATGCTCTGGATCGACATGTACGACAGCGTGTTCCAGTTCCCGCCAGTATCCAGCAACTTCGCACAGCCATTAAAAATAAGTGGTACAACATTCCACAGGCCACAATCAACAGCCTGATCAACTTTATGCGAAGGAGATATGTCGCGCTGCATGAGGCAAATGGTGGTCACACCAGATACTAACTGGTTTTCTGATCCACGCCCCTACTTTTTTTAAAGGTATTACATTTAGGTATCTGTGACCAACAGATGCATATCTGTATTCCCAGTCATGTGAAATCCATAGATTAGGTCCTAATGAATTTATTTCAATTGACTGATTTCCTTATATGTACTGTAACTCAGTAAAATCTTTGAAATTGTTGCATGTTGCATTTATATTTTTGTTCAGTGTGTATCATACTTTGACTAAAACGATTACTTATTGACTTGCATCGTTGTGCAACATCATGGGTAAGCTCTGGCCATCGTCTTTCAGCTCGAAAAAGTGGATTTCTACTGGTGTGGGTGTTGAAAACAGCAAAAATAATGTCCAAAACACATAAAGAGCACATTGTTTATGTAAATTTCCCAAAGTATACAAAACAAATATGAAGCTAATTAACAGGGGCCCAGATGGCAAAACATTTCTCCCGCTTGCTATTCTCCGCTTACTATTTAGGCTATAAATTCCCACCGCCAGCGGGCGAGTGTAGTTTGCCGTTCAAGACGTGATTTACATCCCTGACGGATAGCCCCCACTATAGGACTGCTATGAGCCCTAGGCAAGCCATCTAGCCATGAGTTAATTTGAAAGACAATAGCAAGGAATTTCTCTAATCTCAAATTTGGCCTGCCACCTTCCAGCTAACCACAGCCAGTTGGAGGCTGCAAGCTGTTTTTGTTGTTTCTATAAAAAGCTTACATTGTGATTTTAATTTGATTTATTTGCTCGTTTTAAAAACACAATACAACCATACGTGGACATAGTGTATTTAGAATAATTGAGGATGACTCAACAGTAATAAGGCTAATAATTTACAGTTTAAGTAGATCAATTATATATTGATTATGCCCAAAAATAGCCTACATTTTGCTATTGATTGAATATACTATATATTTGAGGCAATACAAACGGTTCCTTTCGGCCACTCTGGAGGGACGCCGGCCTCCCAAGCGTTCATTGCGCCGACTCTTTTGCAAAATATTTAGTCTGTTGCAAAACGTTTTGCAACAAACCGTTTACTCCAAACTGAAAACATTTTACAATGAAAACAAGAGTTTCTATTGGACAAATTCAGGGGTGTATTCATCCCACCAATTCTGTTGTAAAACTATTCTTAAAAGGAAGCAAACAGAACAAAACAGGGAGGGACCTACCTGAATTTGTCCAATAGAAACTCTTGTTTTGCTCTGTTTGCTTCCATTCTTAAATGGTAAACATTTTCCGTAATGAATACACCCCAGGTGGGTCCCTCCCCATTTCATTCCGTTTGGTCCTGAAACGGTTTCTGGTGCAAGACTTAATGGATACACCCCAGTTCAGTATGGACATTTGAAAGGGTTAGGAACACTATGGCTTTAATACATATTTGGTACTAGAAATATTCACCCCAATATCTGTCCTGTCGGTTGAATGAGTTGACTACTAGCACGGTATAGGGCATTGTCTCCTATCAAGAAGCAACCGTTTCCTCTTAGCAGAAAGAGACTGAAAGACTCCAGTTATCTAAATGACTGAAGAATCCTGCTTAATGAGGAAGGATCTGCTGAACTACTGCCACTCATACATACTCTTCATTGTGAAAATGCTAAATGCTATTTATGAAAATCTCAATGGATGCGTGTCTGTGAGGGAAGGACAGGAAGCCATAACAGGATAGTGACTGCATGGCCAAGGATGTGAGAGTTGGCATCTTGCTTGTCTCACGGCAGCAGACATTTCTGTTAGCACAGCTCTACGTCCCCAGTCTGACTCCTAGTAGTCCCAACATTCTTCTTTCCTGGCTTGTAAATTAATTATAGGCTGAATCTCAACTGGAGATCATTCAACTTACTATTAATGCACTTCTGCATCGCTGCTAATGGAAGATTTGTGTGAAAATAGCAGGTTAGGTTGTGCACACATCTCGAGTTAGGATTTGGCCCTGACTAAGATGACATGCTCAGAGCTCATTTAGCTGTGGTTCTGGTGAGTATGCTCGCCAGATGACATCATGAAAAATGTGCTTCTAGCATGAGCAAAACAATGAACTCAGGCTGGAACTTGATGTTGCCCTCCTCCATTATAATAATAATAATAATATGCCATTTAGCAGACGCTTTTATCCAAAGCGACTTACAGTCATGCGTGCATACATTTTTTTTTTTTTGTGTATGGGTGGTCCCAGGGATCAAACCCACTACCTTGGCATTACAAGCGCCGTGCTCTACCAGCTGAGCTACAGAGGACCAGAGGATGTTCTGCTCATGTTATAAGCACATTTTTCAGTCTGGCATCCTAGCTAGAGAAATATTGGACACCATCTGGATATTGTGTCTTGCCCGGCAACATGGATGCGCGTCGTTATGACAATGATGCACTATGCTGATCAGGAAAACATATGCGTCCTACTAGGAAAAACTCTGGCATTCTTGCTAAGTTCAAATTGTCAGGAACAGCTCAGTACGATACTTTCATTGACTGTGTATGTTTTCTCATTTGCAGTGAATCCCTGCTGCTATTACCCCTGTCAAAACTGGGGTGTGTGTTTAAGGTTTGGCACTGACCGCTATGAATGTGACTGCACTCGCACCGGCTTCTATGGACAGAATTGCACTATCCGTAAGTGAAATGTTTTGCTTATACATTCTTTGGATGAAAGTTACATTTTCCATTTTCCTCCCTGGCTTATCAAAACATTGCTATCATTTCCTGATGTGCAGAAGGACTTGTAATGAGTAAAATGAAAAGAAAAGAAAAGAAAAGAAAAGACGAAAGCATTACATAACCAGGGAATAACATTTCCAGGCCATAAAAGTTAATATTTTGGTAGTTGGGTTCTGCACAGCTGGGGTATAGCTTTACGAAGCCAGGGAGATGGATATATTTTTGTGTCCTAACTCTGTTATAGTTTAGTTGAGAAATGTCTACGTCTTTTAGAGTTCCACCGGTCTCTCATCCATCCAGTAGCTTGCAAACTCTTTATTTTTCTCATTCCCCCTCTTCCATCCTAACGGGACCTGACATGATCCTCATGATGAGTAATAGTGAATAGTGTTTCAAATTCAGTCATGTTTTGTGGTGTACCATTGACACTTGTAGGATAGGTTTCTGGGAATCATAGTGCATCACTTTATTGAACCAGCATTTAATAATGAATAATACCAAGACGAAATGAAATGAGTTTCAATGTCTCTTAATACTGCTAGTTGTGAAATAAGGTAACGGATATCAGGTGAAAAGTTAATGCCATGTTCAAACTGGCATACCAGTGCAAAACCTTGCTTATCAAAAAATGTAACATTTACAGTGCCTTCAGAAAGTAGTCATACCCCTTGACTTATTCCACATTTTGTTGTGTTACAGCCTGAATTTTAAATGGATTAAATATATTTTATTCCTCACCCATCTACACACAATACCCCATAATGACAAGTGAAAACATGTTTTTAGACATTTTTGCAAATGTATTGAAAATGAAATACAGAAATATCTCATTTACATAAGTATTCACATCCCTGAGTCAATACGTTAGACACCTTTGGCAGAGATTACAGCTGTGAGTCTTTCTTGGTAAGTCTCTAAGAGCTTTGCACACCTGGATTGTACAATATTTGCCCATTATTCTTTTCAAAATTCTTCAAGCTCTGTCAAATTGGTTGTTGATCATTGCTAGACAAACATTTTCAAGTCTTGCCATAGATTTTCAAGCAGATTTAAGTCAAAACTGTAACTCAGCCACTCAGAAAAATGTACTTTGTTCTTGACAAGCAACTCCAGTGTATATCTGGCCTTATGTTTTAGGTTATTGTCCTGCTGAAAGGTAAATTCATCTCCCAGTGTCTGGTGGAAAGTAGACTGAACCAGATTTTCCTCTAGGATTTTGCCTGTGCTTAGCTCCATTCCATTTCTTTTTTTTATCCTGAAAAACTCCCCAGTCCTTAACAATTACAAGCATAACCTTTACAGTGAGGGAAAAAAGTATTTGATCCCCTGCTGATTTTGTAAGTTTGCCCACTGACAAAGAAATTATCAGTCTATAATTTTAATGGTAGGTTTATTTGAACAGTGAGAGACAGAATAACAACAAAAAAATCCAGAAAAACGCATGTCAAAAATGTTATAAATTGATTTGCATTTTAATGAGGGAAATAAGTATTTGACCCCCTCTCAATCAGAAAGATTTCTGGCTCCCAGTTGCCTTTTATACAGGTAACGAGCTGAGATTAGGAGCACACTCTTAAAGGGAGTGCTCCTAATCTCATCTTGTTACCTGTATAAAAGACACCTGTCCACAGAAGCAATCAATCAATCAGATTCCAAACTCTCCACCATGGCCAAGACCAAAGAGCTCTCCAAGGATGTCAGGGACAAGATTGTAGACCTACACAAGTCTGGAATGGGCTACAAGACCATCGCCAAGCAGCTTGGTGAGAAGGTGACAACAGTTGGTGCGATTATTCGCAAATGGAAGAAACACAAAATAACTGTCAATCTCCCTCGGCCTGGGGCTCAATGCAAGATCTCACCTCGTGGAGTTGCAATGATCATGAGAACAGTGAGGAATCAGCCCAGAACTACATGGGAGGATCTTGTCAATGATCTCAAGGCAGCTGGGATCAGAGTCACCAAGAAAACAATTGGTAACACACTACGCCGTGAAGGACTGAAATCCTGCAGCGCCTGCAAGGTCCCCCTGCTCAAGAAAGCACATATACAGGGCCGTCTGAAGTTTGCCCATGAACATCTGAATGATTCAGAGGTGAACTGGGTGAAGTGTTGTGGTCAGATGAGACCAAAATGGAGCTCTTTGGCATCAACTCAACTCGCCGTGTTTGGAGGAGGAGGAATGCTGCCTATGACCGCAAGAACACCATCCCCACCGTCAAACATGGAGGTGGAAACATTATGCTTTGGGGGTGTTTTTCTGCTAAGGGGACAGGACAACTTCACCGCATCAAAGGGACGATGGACGGGGCCATGTACCGTCAAATCTTGGGTCCTTCCCTCAGCCAGGGCATTGAAAATGGGTTGTGGATGGGTATTCCAGCATGACAATGACCCAAAACACATGGCCAAGGCAACAAAGGAGTGGCTCAAGAAGAAGCACATTAAGGTCCTGGAGTGGCCTAGCCAGTCTCCAGACCTTAATCGCATAGAAAATCTGTGGAGGGAGCTGAAGGTTCGAGTTGCCAAACGTCAGCTTTGAAACCTTAATGACTTGGAGAAGATCTGCAAAGAGGAGTGGGACAAAATCCCTCCTGAGATGTGTGCAAACCTGGTGGCCAACTACAAGAAACGTCTGACCTCTGTGATTGCCAACAAGGGTTTTGCCACCAAGTACTAAGTCATGTTTTGCAGAGGGGTCAAATACTTATTTCACTCATTAAAATTGAAAAATCAATTTATAACATTTTTGACATGCATCTTTCTGGATTTTTTTGTTGTTATTCTGTCTCTAATTGTTCAAATAAACCTACCATTAAAATTGTAGACTGATCATGTCTTTGTCAGTGGGCAAACGTACAAAATCAGCAGGGGATCAAATACTTTTTTCCCTCACTGTACATGATGCAGCCACCACTATGCTTGAAAATATGGAGAGTGGTACTCAGTAATGTGCTGTATTGGATTTGCCCAAAACATAACACTTTATTTTCAGGACATAAAATTAATTTCTTTGTCACATTTTTTTTTGCAGTATTACTTTAGTGCCTTGTTGCAAACAGGATGCATGTTTTGGAATATTTGTATTCTCTACAGGCTTCCTTTTCACTCAATTAGGTTAGTATTGTGGAGTAACTACAATGTTGTTGATCCATCCTCAGTTTTCTCCTATCATAGCCATTACATTCTGTAACTGTTTTAAAGTCACCATTGGCCTCATGGTGAAATCCCTGAGTGGTTTCCTTCCTCTCTGGCAACTGAGTTAGGAAGGACGCCTGTATCTTTGTAGTGACTGGATGTATTGATACACCATCCAAAGAGCAATTAAAACTTCAACATGCTCAAAGGATTATTCAATGTCTGCTTTTTTTTTTTACCCATCTACCAATAGGTGCCCTTCTTTGCGAGCCATTGAAAAACGTCCCTGGTCTTTGTGGTTGAATCTGTGTTTGAAATTCACTGCTCGACTGAGGGACCTTACAGATAATTGTATGTGTGGGGTACAAAGATGAGGTAGTCATTCAAAAATCATGTTTAACACTATTATTGCACACAGAGTGAATCCATGCAACTTATTATGTGACTTGTTAAGAACATCTTTTACTCCTGAGCTTATTTAGGCTTGTCATAACAAAGGGGTTAAATACTTATTGACTCGAGACATTTCAGCTTTTCATTTGTAATTAATTTGTAAACATTTTGAAAAACATATTTCCACTTTGACATTATGGGTAGTTGTGTGTAGGTCAGTGACAAAAAAACTCAATGTAATCTATTTTAAATTCAGGCTGTAATGCAACAAAAAGTCAAGAGGTGTGAATACTTTCTGAAGGCATTTCGAACTCCAGACGTATGTAAATATTTTCATACCAGAGGAGCCAGGGATCAGTAATGATTGATGCAGATAGCACTAGATGGTTGCATTTCTCACCTCCTCTCTAACCTCCACTACTAGGACACTCTGTCCTGGGCTGCCCCAGCATATCTAACAGGCATGTTTGTTTTGGGAACTATACAATTCTACTTTCAGGACATTTAAGCTGTGGAAGTTTTTGCATAGTCCATCTATAGATGCTCAATAAAGGACAGACTTTCAGTAACATGTCAACTGCATGTCTGTGAAGTGTGGACTATCAAAATGAGGTGAAATGAACAAAGATCCCCTTATCACAGCTCAAAGTCAAAAGAAACAGGTCAGGTTTGAGTTGAACACCAAGCAATATATATATATATATATTCGCGAGAAAAAAACCATATGGGGGATTGGAAGTGATGCAGACAATTACAGTGAGGGGAAAAAAGTATTTGATCCCCTGCTGATTTTGTACGTTTGCCCACTGACAAAGAAATGATCAGTCTATAATTTTAATGGTAGGTTTATTTGAACAGTGAGAGACAGAATAACAACAAAAAAATCCAGAAAAACGCATGTCAAAAATGTTATAAATTGATTTGCATTTTAATGAGGGAAATAAGTATTTGACCCCCTCTCAATCAGAAAGATTTCGGCCTCCCAGGTGTCTTTTATACAGGTAACGAGCTGAGATTAGGAGCACACTCTTAAAGGGAGTGCTCCTAATCTCAGTTTGTTACCTGTATAAAATATACCTGTCCACAGAAGCAATCAATCAATCAGATTCCAAACTCTTCACCATTGCCAAGACCAAAGAGCTCTCCAAGGATGTCAGGGACAAGATTGTAGACCTACACAAGGCTGGAATGGGCTACAAGACCATCGCCAAGCAGTTTGGTGAGATGGTGACAACAGTTGGTGCGATTATTCACAAATGGATGAAACACAAAATAACTGTCAATCTCCCTCGGCCTGGGGCTCCATGCAAGATCTCACCTCGTGGAGTTGCAATGATCATGAGAACGGTGAGGAATCAGCCCAGAACTACACGGGAGGATCTTGTCAATGATCTCAAGGCAGCTGGGACCATAGTCACCAAGAAAACAATAGGTAACACACTACGCCGTGAAGGACTGAAATCCTGCAGCGCCCGCAAGGTCCCCCTGCTCAAGAAAGCACATATACAGGGCCGTCTGAAGTTTGCCAATGAACATCTGAATGATTCAGAGGAGAACTGGGTGAAAGTGTTGTGGTCAGATGAGACCAGAATCGAGCTCTTTGGCATCAACTCAACTCACCGTGTTTGGAGGAGGAGGAATGCTGCCTATGACCCCAAGAACACCATCCCCACCGTCAAACATGGAGGTGGAAACATTATGCTTTGGGGGTGTTTTTCTGCTAAGGGGACGGGACAACTTCACCGCATCAAAGGGACGATGGACGGGGCCATGCACTGTCAAATCTTGGGTGAGAACCTCCTTCCCTCAGCCAGGGCATTGAAAATGGGTTGTGGATGGGTATTCCAGCATGACAATGAGTGGCTCAAGAAGAAGCACATTAAGGTCCTGGAGTGGCCTAGCCAGTCTCCAGACCTTAATCCCATAGAAAATCTTTGGAGGGAGCTGAAGGTTTGAGTTGCCAAACGTCAACCTCGAAACCTTAATGACTTGGAGAAGATCTGTAAAGAGGAGTGGGACAAAATCCCTCCTGAGATGTGTGCAAACCTGGTGGCCAACTACAAGAAACGTCTGACCTCTGTGATTGCCAACAAGGGTTTTGCCACCAAGTACTAAGTGGGGTCAAATACTTATTTCCCTCATTAAAATGCAAATCAATTTATAACATTTTTGACCTGCGTTTTTCTGGATTTTCTTGTTGTTATTCTGTCTCTCACTGTTCAAATAAACCTACCATTAAAATTATAGACTGATCATGTCTTTGTCAGTGGGCAAACGTTTTCCGAGCTGGTCATGGGTGCACTTCAGCCACGCTCAAGGTCCTAAACGATAATATAACCGCGATCGATAATAGACAGTACTGTGCAGCCGTCTTCATCGACCTGGCCAAGGCTTTCGACTCTGTCAACCACCACATTCTTATTGGCAGACTAAATAGCCTTGGTTTCTCAAATGACTGCCTCGCCTGGTTCACCAACTACTTCTCAGATAGAGTTCAATGTGTCAAATCGGAGGGCCTGTTGTCTGGACTTATGGCAGTCTCTATGGGGGTGCCACAGGGTTCAATTTTTGGGCCGACTCTTTTCTCCGTGTATATCAATGATGTCGCTCTTGCTGCTGGTGACTCTCAGATCCACCTCTACGCAGACGACACCATTTTGTATTAATCTGTCCCTTCATTGGACACTGTGTTAACAAACCTCCAAACGAGCTTCAATGCCATACAACACTCCTTCAGTAGCCTCCAACTGCTCTTAAACACTAGTAAAACTAAATGCATGCTCTTCAATCGAACGCTGCTGGCACCCGCCCACCCGACAAGAATCACTACTCTCGACGGGTCTGACCTAGGGTATGTGGACAACTACAAATACCTAGGTGTCTGGTTAGACTGTAAACTCTCCTTCCAGACTCACATTAAGAATCTCCAATCCAAAGTTAAATCTAGAATCGGCTTCCTATTTCGCAACAAAGCCTCCTTCACTCATGCTGCCAAACATGCCCTCGTAAAACTGACTATCCTACCGATCCTTGACTTCGGCGATGTCATTTACAAAATAGCCTCCAACACTCTACTCAGCAAATTGGATGTAGTCTATCACAGTGCCATCCGTTTTGTCTCCAAAGCCCCATACACTACCCACCACTGTGACCTGTACGCTCTTGTTGGCTGGTCCTCACTACATGTTCGTTGTCAAACCCACTGGCTCCAGGCCATCTATAAATCACTGCTAGGCAAATCCCCGCCTTATCTTAGCTCATTGGTCACCATAGCAGCACCCACCCGTAGTCTGCGCTCCAGCAAGGTATATCTCACTGGTCATCCCCAAAGCCAACACCTCCTTTGGCCGCCATTCCTTCCAGTTCTCTGCTGCCAATGACTGGAACGAATTGCAAAAATCTCTGAAGCTGGAGACTCTTATCTCCCTCACTAACTTTAAGCATCAGTTGTCAGAGCACCTTACCGATCACTGCACCTGTACACAGCCCATCTGAAAGTAGCCCTACCCAACTACCTCATCCCTATATTGTTATTTATTTTGCTCTTTTGCACCCCAGTATCTCTATTTGCACATAATCTCTTGCACATCTAGCATTCCAGTGTTAATACTAATTGTAATTATTTTGCACTATAGCCTATTTATTGCCTTACCTCCATAACTTGCTACATTTGCACACACTGTATATATATTTTTTTACTTTATGTTTTTTTACCCCATATGTAACTCTGTGTTGTTGTTTTTATCGCACTGCTTTGCTTTATCTTGGCCAGGTCGCAGTTGTAAATGAGAACTTGTTCTCAACTGGCTTACCTGGTTAAATAAAGGTGAGAAAAAAAAAAAACGTACAAAATCAGCAGGGGATCAAATACTTTTTTCCCTCACTGTACATTGATGGAAGTTACAATCTATGTGCAATATTAAACCTGATCTACCCCTAAAAAAAGAAAAAAAGGAAAAAGGAAAGCAAGCAATTTCCAGTGTGGAAATTTTTCTGATAATATAGCTTTACAATGTCAAATATACAGTGGAGTTTAAATTGGATAAACTCAGAACTGAGTCTCCTCTATCCCATCAACGGTCTGTATATCCTCTTCCTTGTCATCATTCTGTCTCTGCTAAATGTCTCCTTATGTGGAGTCCTCATCATCAGTAGTCTAGAATGCTACCATGGTTGATTGCCTCTCAACCTGCTGCTATTATGGTTGGCAGCAGCAGTGTTTCCCCTTACTATTATTCAGGCAGGGTGGGCCATCTGCCTTGCTCTGTTTCCTCCACCTTTAGTTTGGCCTGAATTAATCTCAGTTGAAAATATTGTCTTTGGAAGCCCTGGATGATTATTTAGGGACCCTGCACCCTGCCTGTGAAGTAATCTGAGGGAAACATTGACTGGCAGTCTAGGAGGGCCCCAGAGTGATACTGTACTGCAGGGATCATCAACTATTATTTTTTTCTTGAGCGGATGATCGGGGGGCCGAAACATAATAACAAATAAATTGTAGACTGCAAATTGACCACAAGAAGCCCATATATAATAGTTGACTAAAACATCATCATTTCAAATCTTGCTTTCATCTGTATGCGATCACATGTCTCTCTATTATGTGTGGGAATACTTGGGAACAGATTGGGGAACCCTGCTGTACTGTATGTAACGTCTGTTATATCAAAGCTTTTTGCATAATCTTGTTTTACCCCTACTGTGTGCCTTCTCTCTCTGTGTGTAGCTGAGTTCTGGACAAGGGTCTACCAGAAGCTGAAGCCAAGCCCTGATGTGGTCCACTACATCCTCACACACTTCCACTGGCTGTGGAGCCTCATCAACAGGACCTTCCTACGGGACTGGCTCATGAGGATGGTCCTCACAGGTTAGTCGCCTGGCATTCAGTGCAGCCGTGGTGAGCATTCTGGCACAAAAGGGTTGCCGTGCATCAGCCTGGTGGGTGCTGTGTATAAGGGGTGGAAGGGCTAACTTAATCCCATACAATGTACAGTGCTTTGCAACCAGGGGGAACATATTATTATTATGGAAATGCATGCATGCATGGATCCATTATGGTGTTGCAACAGTTGAAAATGCATTAACGCTCTCCAGAGTTCTTCAAGTACTGCATCCTTGTGGTCCTCTGTAGCTCAATTGGTAGAGCATGGCGCTTGTAATGCCAGGGTAGTGGGTTCGATTCCCGGGACCACCCATATGTAAAAATGTATGCACGCATGACTGTAAGTCACTTTGGATAAAAGCGTCTGCTAAATGGCATATTATATTATATTATATTATTATCCTTATCTCATTTTAACTACCCAGAGCCATATATATTCATATACAGTGCATTCGCAAAGTATTCAGACCCCTTTACTTTTTCCACATTTTGTTACGTTACAGCTTTATTCTAAAATTGATTAAATTAGGTTTTTCACCATCAATCTACAAACAGTACCCCATAATGACAAAGAAAAAACAGGTTTGTAGAAATATCACATTTACGTAAGTATTCAGACCCTTTACTCAGTACTTTGTTGAAGCACATTTTGCAGCGATTACAGCATCGAGTCTTCTTGGGTATGACGCTACAAGCTTGGCACACCTGTATTTGGGGAGTTTGTCCCATTCTTCTCTGCAGATCCTCTCAAGCTCTGTCAGGTTGGAAGGAGAGCGTCGCTGCACAGCTATTTTCAGGTCTCTCCAGAGATGTTTAATCGGGTTCAAGTCCGGGCTCTGGCTGGACCACTCAAGGACATTCAGAGACTTGTCCCAAAGCCACTCCTGCGTTGTCTTGGATGTGTGCTTACGGTCGTTGTCCTGTTGGAAGGTGAACCTTCGCCCCAGTCTGAGGTCCTGAGCGCTCTGGAGCAGGTTTTCATCAAGTATCTCTCTGTACTTTGCTCTGTTCATCTTTCCCTTGATCCTGACTAGTCTCCCAGTCCCTGCTGCTGAAAAACATCCCCATAGCATGATGCTGCCACCAACATGCTTCACCGTAGGGATGGTGGCAGGTTTCCTCCAGACGTGACACTTGGCATTCAGGCCAAAGAGTTCAATCTTGGTTTCAATCAGACCAGAGAATCTTGTTTCTCCTGGTCTGAGAGTCATTTAGGTGCCTTTTGGCAAACTCCAAGCAGGCTGTTATGTGCCTTTTACTGAGGAGTGGCTTCCGTCTGGCCACTACGATAAAGGCCTGATTGGTGGTGCTGCAGAGATGGTTGTCCTTCTGAAATGTTCTCCCATCTCCACAGAGGACCTTTGTCAGAATGACCATCGGGTTCTTGGTCACCTCCCTGACCAAGGCCCTTCTCCCCCGATTGTTCAGTTTGTCCGGGCGGCCAGCTCTAGGAAGAGTCTTGGTGGTTCAAAACTTCTTCCATTTAAGAATGATGGAGGCCACTTTGTTCTTGGGGACCTTCAATGCTACAGAAATGTTTTGGTTCCCTTCCCCAGATCTGTGCCTTGACACAATCCTGTCTCGGAGCTCTACAGACAATTCCTTCGACCTCATGGCCCTCATGGCCCTGACATGCACTGTCAACTGTGGGACCTTATATAGACAGGTGTGTGCCTTTCCAAATAATGTCCAATCAATTGAATTTACCACAGCTGGACTCCAATCAAGTTGTAGAAACATCTCAAAGATGATCAATGGAAACAGGATGCACATGAGCTCAATTTCGAGTCTCATAGCAAAGGGTCTGAATACTTATGTGAATAAGGTATTTCTGATCTTTATTTTATATAAATCTGATAAATTTATAAAATCAGTTTTTTGCTTTGTCATTATGGGGTATTGTGTGTAGATTGATGAGGAAAAATACATACATTTATCAATTTTAGAATAAGGCTGTACCGTAACAAAATGTGGAAAAAGTAAAGGGGTCTGAATACTTTCCGAATGCACCGTATCTACTCTTATGTTACTGCACTAAGAGAAGAGTTTCTCTTCCCTACCAATGCACTCAGACTACGGCAGAATAATTGGACAGTTTGCTTACGACTTGTGTTCATTTGCCTCCTGGTTCCTTTGTTATGTTCCCAGCATGTAAATATTTGGATAACACATATTGGCCCATGGTTTCATCACCACACTCTGAGCTCTCCCTTCTAACTCTCTACAACTGCAGACAGTTTTAGGTGTATTTAAAAGGTTTAACATCTAAGAGAGGGGCATGGTGAGGTATTGTAAGTGATCTCAGAAGCCAGGGCTGTTGCCTTAAGAAAATAGGAAGGAAGGGGTCACTGAGGCCACTACTCATCACAAGATACACACTGCCTTAAAGTCTAAATAGCAGCAGCAGCTGTGATCATAGGGACTTTTTTATTTGAGTTGGTCAATATATTTGTTATTTATATTTGCATCCTACAACACTTTCTACTCACCATACTGTCATTCATTTGTATAGCTAGGCTGGTTTTATGCTGGCCCACACTCTCTCAACCTATTTCCTCCTGCCTGTGTTTGTGTGCGTGCTAACTGGTAGTTGGGTGGCGCTGCGTACCCTGGCCTGACATCCTGACCTTATTTATTCAGTCTCTTTCCCAGGCCTGTGCTCCATGGCCCTCTAGCTGATTTACCACCTCGCTCAAAATATCTCTTCCTTTCATGGAGAGTGGAATGAGACTTTCTCACCTCTGTCTCCCTTCTTTCTAACCCCATGACTGGGAAGAGGCACTACCTAGTGTGCTACCAATCTGAGGGGTGTGTTATGGTGGTAAAGTGAGGGAGGGTTGTGATTAGGCCCGGGACGATACCAGTATCGCAATATTTTTTCCATGCCAAAAATTAAAGCCTGAAGCGGACCAACGTTTTTGGTCCTTTAAAAATCAGCTGTATGTAAAATATTGTGTTCTTTAGCTTGGGAAATAAATGTGACTCTGGATGACAACATATTGATGTTTGTTTCCAACATTAGGGCTGTTTTCCTAAAGATGTTAAATCTGCTTCGTGTTTTGTTTCCTTGCCGCCATACAAACGAGTATTGCAATACTGGTATCGTCCCAGCCCTAGGTGTGATGTGGTTATTTTACCTACTTTAGTTGAAAGTACTGATTGATTGTAAGTCTCTCTGCAAAATGGTGTTTGCTAAATGACTGAAATGGATTGGAATGGAGGGAGAGAGCATGGGTCACTTCTGTACTTCCATTATACTAAAAAGCTACTGTGTTAATAAGCATTAACAATAAAACCGATGTTGTTCATCTCATCAGTATGTACTGTATCAACCTTGTGCCTCCACTAAACCCCAACACAGCTATGTCAACCCTGTTAACAACCATGTCATGTCATCATCATGTCATGTTCATCGTCCGCCATTGCAAGCCCCATGTAGCAAGCCCCATGTGTCTTACGAATTCCTAACATCTAATCTTCCATGGCATGGCGTCTGAGCTAAGTGTGTTTGTCAAAGTGGGCTTGTTTACTGGAGGTCCTGGCTTCCCATCATCCCCTCTCTCTGTCTGGCAGCTGCATTCCTCAAAGGATTATATTCCCTCCCTGGCTGGTAGCTGGATTTCCTCACGGTTTTTCAGTTTTATTACAGGATGTGATGCGTGTATTTTTCCACAGACTGCAGTGACTCTTTGAAGCAGTCAGCCATAGTTGTTTCAAGATAGATAGCCCATTGTAATGTGATATAAACAAAAGCAGAACCTGACTGACTTGTGTGTCAGAGTCAGATTGGTTTATTTTGCTTTGCAGATGAACAACAAAGTTAGTTTCTTGATATTATGTACTATAATGTTAGTTGTTTTCAGTTGCATCATATTGATACTTTCTTCCCTCAAATGTTTGCTTGTGGCTTTGCAAAGTCAAGCAACACTTCTGATAAAATAAATAATATTTTCCTGGCTGCTTGAGGCTGTTTCTCAACTTTAATTTGATTTGGGATTAAATCCAAGGCGTGTTATACTGCAGGGCACTACACAGCCAACAATGCCCCTTTTTAAAGGTAATTTACGCTTGAGCTGACCTCCTCAGTGTTTACCGTGAGTAGAATCTCTGCCAACGGCCTTGGATTGAGTCCCGGTTTTAAACTGAAAGTTGAGAATGTTTCTCAACTTCAATTGGAAGTTTCTTCAAAGTTGAGAATGTGTCTTAACTCCACTGAAAGTTGAGAATGTGCCTTGACTCAGCTGAAAGTTTAGAATGTGTCCTGACTCAGCTAAAAGTTGAGAATGTTTCTTGACTCAGCTAAAAGTTGAGAATGTGTCTTGACTCAGCTGAAAGTTGAGAATGTGTCTTGACTCAGCTAAAAGTTGAGAATGTGCCTTGACTCAGCTGAAAGTTTAGAATGTGTCTTGACTCAGCTGAAAGTTGATAATGTGTCTTAACTGAGCTGAAAGTTGCAGTTTTAAAATATGATTATCATCAGGGTTGTTTGGAGGTCAGTTCTTTTCTGACATTACAGAATGTTTCCTGTAACACATACTGGAGAATGAGAAGTGACATCTCTTCATCTAAAATGTGTGATGCACGCACATACGTATGCATGCTTTTCTATCCCATGGGTTGTATTTCCTCCAACCATTATTGCATTTTCTGTGAAACTTCAGGCCTTGAATGATCGATGTGTCAAACAATTCTGTGTTCTCCCTCCCAAAGTCAGAGCAAACCTTATTCCCAGTCCTCCTACCTTCAACTCAAAGTATGGATACCTCAGCTGGGAATCTTACTCCAATGTCTCCTATTACACCCGTATCCTACCCCCTGTGCCTGAAGACTGCCCCACCCCTATGGGTACCAAAGGTGAGAGGGCATCCAAAGTTCCTATCGGAAAATACAAAGACTACTGAAGATTACTTACAAAAATAAATCTTCCCAACGGTAACATGCATAGCTAACATACTTTCTTTCCTCTCTTTTCTCCAGGAAAGTCTGTCCTCCCAGACCCAAAGCTGGTGGTGGAGAAGTTTCTGCTGAGGAGGAAGTTCAGGCCGGATCCACAGGGAACCAACCTGATGTTTGCTTTCTTCGCTCAGCACTTCACCCATCAGTTCTTCAAGACCCAAAACAGCATGGGCCTGGGCTTCACCAGGGCTCTAGGGCATGGGGTGAGAGAGTTGGTACTCCCTGTACTGTACTGTATATTATATATTATTCAATTATGATAGAATTATCGCATTATATTCTATTATATTTAGGGGAGGAAGAGAGGTAGGTAATGTATTTAGGTGTTAGCAGGGGTGGACAACTCAAATCCTTGGAGCAAAACAAAAATCTATTCCAACTAGGGTTGGTTGATGTCAACCTTTGTCCTATCGTGATTATCAGTACCCATAAAACATTGTGATATATAAAAATAGCCACAAAAATTTAATTAAAATGTCAGCTAAAACGACAGTTGGGCTATAGTGCGAAATCGAATGCTACTGGATGAATCATGGCGAAAGATAATGTTGTTGAAAGCCTGGCACGTGCAGGAAATGGCAAATCTTTTCTTATATTCCTTTCTGGTGGAGGAGCAAAACAGGTTTATCTGTATCTGTCTGTGTTGGAGCAGTGACTGTCTGTGGAACGGGCCGTCTTACCATAATGAGCTGGGTTATAAACCTACAGTAAATCATGGGCTGGATAGAAGCAGTCTACCGTCTTCAGAACTGAATAATAATTGCTTTATTTGCCTCATAAAATAATAGAAGAATAAATATTGCTTGTTCTATATCTCATAATGCTGTGATTTGAGAATGTCCTAGGGTTAGGCTTATAGACTTTCATTCTTGTTATTTTTGAAAGCCACAGCAACTTTAGGACACCTTCATAGGCTAGAATATTTGGGAAATAAGCTACTAATCATAACTTGAACTTGTCTTAAAGCTTTTATGATAGGCCTAGTAGGAGGATGGGTTATTGGCCATTTGGTTTTCAACCTCGCATGCAATGATTTTCTCGGCCTTTATGGATAATTTCTTTCTTAATAAGCTTAAACTTGATTAAACTTGTCATTCGATTTTTCTATAGGCTATTGATATTGTTTGTTCTCTCTCATTATTAGTCCTCTGGTTATCGTACGTTTTTAGGCTATTCAAATAACTTTTTGAGATGGAACTCTGTTGCATTGATTGTTTAATCAGGAGAAAGCCATGCACAAAACAATGAAGCGTAGCCTTCAGTCACATTCATAGCCTATCCAATGGAGAGAGAAGGTAATATAGGCAGCGTTTCTTTTTTTACCGCTAGACACAAGATAGTTAAGGTGTGTCCGTTATTTAAAAAGAAATGCTAACACTTTACTTGACACACAGTGTCATAACACATTATGGTCATAACCATGTCATAATGTCATAACACTGTCATGACCCATATATTTACACCTGTTGTGACATATATTACGTTATTGTATGGCTGATTATGACATCTACATAAGTGTCAAAACACACATTTATTAAAATTATTTTTTTCCTGACAAGAAGTTTCCTTTCGTTTGAAAATGTGTTTCTTAAATCCTTTGTTGTTGTAATTAATTCTTTACAGTCATGTTTTTTTATAATATTTTTAATCACTTGTAGAAAATGTACTTTATGAAACTGTCATGAAGCATTATGACCATCATGTGTCACTTTACGTGGACTAAGAATATACACTATCAAGAAGCATTATGACCAATAATCATATAAGCCAGATAGGCCTATCACGTACCTGCCCTTATATCAGTCATCAGTCAAAAAGAGGGTGTCTTGTCCTGCTCCTGAAATCTGCTGCTGCATTCATCCCAGTCATCAGCAACAGATCATTGGGGTAGGTGCATGTCTGACATCAATGTGTGTGCAATTATAATGCTAATTGAATATGGTCATTTATTTGTTATTTTTTTATATAACATAAACATACTGCTGGATTCTAGCTTGAAATACTTGCTATACTAGAAGTTAATGATTATATGTATAAGGAATGTATATGGTGGGGTCAATGGAGTGTGGATAAGAACTAGGGGTATGGAAGTTACTGAGAGAGGAAAAAGGCAATCACTTGGTTGTGGTCACTGATAAGGTTGGATAGCCGTGGATTAGAGAGGAGTGGGGAACGTGGGCCCAGGTCAGGTCAGATTAATTGAGAAGGAACAGTTTTATTACACACATCACTTAGCTTCCTGCCTAGCAACAGAAATGTATTGGCTGTCTAGATGTGCAAGGAGGAGACTCTTATGTAGGTGTCATAACCAGCTTAAAATAACTACCATGGTAAGTTTAGTGGGTTTTTACACTCTTAACCAGCCATAAAATAACTCAATATGTCACAACAGGTCTACATATATGTCATGACAGTGTTATGACAAGATATGTCAGCTGTTATGACATGGATATGACAGTGTCATAACGTGTTATGACACTGGGTGTCAAGTAAAGTGTTACCAAAAATATATAGGTTTAGGCTATAGCCTAATGCCCATGCATCTGACAGAGAGAGAGAGAGGGAGAGAAACAATATTTTCTGACTGGACATTTTGCACTGCTTTGGTGGAATTCTCTGCTCTGTCTCTCTGCTCTGTCTATCTGCTCTGTCTCTCTGCTCTGTCTGGCCTACATTACTTTCTTGTGTTCTGTAGGCTAAATAACATACAGTGAGCGCCAAAAGTATTGGGACAGTGACAAATTTGTTTTGTTTTGGCTTTGTACAAAATTATACAATGACTATGAGGTTAAAGTGCAGAATGTCAGCTTTAATTTGAGGGTATTTCCATCCATATCGGGTAAACCGTTTAGAAATGTCAGCACTTTTTCTACATAGTCCCCTCATTTTAGGGGAACAAAAGTATAGGGACAAATTCATTTATGTGTATTAAAGTAGTCGAATAAGTAGTGCTTCGTCCCATATTCCTAGCACACAATGATTACATCAATCTTGTGACTCTGAAACACAACCAAAACAAACAGCAAATGCACCCAACAAGTTTATAGAGTCACAAGCTTGATGTAATCATTACATGCTAGGAATATGGGACCAAATACTAAACTTTGGAGTACAGAGCCAAAACAAATAGGAATAAGCATGTTACTCAATGTCACTTGTATGCTGTGCGCTGTGAGACTTTTTTTTACTGCGCAGCGCCAGTCAAGTTCAAATAGGCTAAACCATCATCTGTCACATCACGATGTCATCACCATCGACGAAACAAACCCTGCACACTCTACGAGAGGGAGAGAGAGACATGAGAACCATATTCATCTCTATCTCTTGCCATGCATCATGTTTCACAAAATCTATTTTTAATCTCATATTTTATAATAATCTCTAACCAGGTGGATGCCGGCCATGTCTACGGAGATAATCTGGAGCGTCAACTGAACCTCCGGCTTCTTAAAGACGGAAAGATGAAATACCAGGTATGTAGAGTAATGCATAACTCCACTCCAGCTGTGTGAAAGCATGGACAAGTCTCTACTGGAATGTTACTGTATACATGGTACCACTCTGTGGTGAACTCTGAGGAATTTGTGCTTAAAGTAAATAATCTTGGTTCCAAGCCCCATAAATTATCTTATCATATCACAAGCGTGAAAGAATACACCAATATCGTTTAAGAGTGACTAAATCCTAACCCATGTCAGGATAAAGACGTACACTCATGAGGCCCCTTGGCTTTATCTGTTGAAACCCTGCATCAGCCATCCATGAACTTCTACAGAAAGGAGTTTTGGGATTGGTATCTGCTTTTGGGAAACGGGTGTTGGTTCAGAGTCAGGGAGAGCTGGTGTAAGAACCCCATTGATCAGTGTCTCTTTCAGCAGTGGCATGTATTAACTCTAAATGACATAACGACTAGGTTCCAGTTTAACAATGTTTACTTGACCGTATTTCCACAGTACATAGTTGCCATCACACTCAGGCCAGGTCCAACTGCAAGAGAGACTTCTGCGCAGTCGCACTAATAACAGAGTGATAGCACCGTAATAACAGAAGTATAGGGATACTTAAAACATGAATTTAACAATCTCCCACTTTTCTTTAAAGACAAATAAAACATTAACAAAATAATTACATGTCCAAGTATTATTCAAGTCCCCCATTACAAGTGGGTTGTGTGACAAAGTTTTACTTTTTATTACTCAAGCTGCCACTTTCCATTACTGAGTGCCTTTAGGAGCACAAGACCGAATGCTCCTTTTTAGTCAGACAGTCAGCAAGCTGTTCCTTTGTGGCCGACCACAGAATCCGCTGGATTATTTGTGCTTGAATAAATGCCTTGATGCTGCTAATCTCAAGACTAAGTATTTTCTCTGTGACAGACTTAGTTGACTTGACAGCTTCAACTAGGGAGTAATTGTCAGTGACACAAACTACAGGTACAATGTGACGTTTTGCCTCACCAGTGGTAAACTCTGAGAACAAACTTGCCAGAAAGATGGTGTTGTCAATTCCATCCACAAGAGCAAGGGTTTCTCCAGCAAGTGTGCTGATCCTTTTTCACTGCCAACAGATAGGTGAGAATCTTCCTTCCTCACCCATTAACATGATTAGATGTCCTCCATCTGTAAGGTTCCCTAGGGAAGCATCACTGAAGACAACTAGTTTCAGAGAGTCATCTTTTCCCACAAGCTGAAACTTGAGTCACTTGTTCTGATTTCAGTTTATGAACAACTTGGTTTGCCTCATGAATGGTTTGTACAGTGACGTGTTTTGTGTTGGATGCCAAGTTGCAGCCATCAAACATTACATCAGGTCTACTCTGTCTAGCAACCCATAGCATTTGACCTATCTTTGGCCTCAATTGATCAGCTTAAATTCCACAGAGATGGGAATTCCTTTGTATGGCTCTTGAAGAATCCATGTGGATGGGTTGAAGATTATTGATATAGCTTTCCTGTGGCATCAGTATTGTTCTGTCAACTGTAATAAACTCCATGCCAACATAACAAAAACAAAAATGTAATGCTCCTCACGGCCGACCTGGAAAACAGCTTTGAGGTGTGGAATCACAGTTGTAGCAAAAGTCTGTGAGCCACCCCAGATGAAGTCATCAGCATGACAGGCAAGTACTCCAGTCACATTGCAGTCTTGATCAAGCCAATAGAATACTGCAGGATCCACTTGTGACATTTTGCAACCTGTACTCAGCATTGTTGCCTTAACTTTGTTGTACCAGTAGAGTGATGCATCTGCCAGGCCATACACAATTTTTTTTAGTTTCCACGGTGTTCCTTCGCCCTTAGATTCAGGCGGAAGTCGGATGTGAATGTCCCTTGACAGCTCTGTTCCCTTCAGAAATGTAGATTTGATGTCCATGGAATGAAATGAAGTTTCAATTTTTTTCTGGCAGATCACTGTCAGCAGCAATCTGAGTGGCACATGTCGGTGAGTCTTTTGGGAGTTCTTTAGTAGCCAGCTCCACAAAACCTCTAGCCACTGTCGTGACGTGACTTTCATTAATGTGATGACTATTATTTATCGAATAATTACCTACTATGTTTAATTGTTACTAGATTAAATTAATCATGTAACAATTAACTCATGTAACAAATTAAGGAATTTGGGGCATCACAGGAAAAGTTGTTTAACGAGTTACCATTTCCCGAATTAACTCTAAAGATATCTAGAATCTCTTATCATTTAACAGTCATTTATTAATAATTTACCTCATATCAGTCTCATTCTGAAAGTCGTAGATTCTTTAAGTCTGCACGAACCCGGGTCTTACTGATCATTCCGTACCACACAAATTGATTTAATTATTTATTTACTAACTAATTAAAAATGATAACACAAGATACAAACACGTACATGGTGTATAGGTAGGGATTAGAAACTTAATACAATGAAAACGGGTCCCTAGCGGACTAACACAATATGACACTTGTTACAAAAGATGGCGAGTTAAAGAGAGAGAGAGAGAGAGAGAGAGAGAAAACACTTGGATACACATGGACCGTGTTTATACACAGTAATCCTAATACTTAGCCCCGTACTGCCGCATGTTTGGGAAGAAAAGCAATGCATGTATTTACGTGTTGGAGGTCTTCGTCGTGTATCTCTGTTGGACCCAGGCCTTCGTGGGAAGGGGTCGATTGGGCCTTCTCTTTCGGATGGCCTTTTAGATGTACGGCTCAGATTGTCCACAAGAGGTCACAATGTCCTTCTTCTTAGTTGTCTGTTTACTTTCACTCGTTCTGGAAGTGGTCTTCTGAGGACGGCTAATCAGCCGTGTCGATGATCCCCTGTGGGGGGATAAGAGCAGTGTAATAGACGATGGTTTGAAGAGAGTAACAGGATGGTCCCACTTAAATTCACCTTCTTAGATACAGTACTTAGAACAGCTACTCAGCCGTAACGTTGATTGTTAGTGGAGGCAACTTTGTCGTCTTCACCTCGTGTTGATTTTCAGGGTCGGGACCAATATGCACAAAAGCTGCAGCTTGAGGTCCGTCTAGTCTGATCTGATAATTCTTATCTCAGTCTTTTATGCATTCTGGTAAAGAGGGGCGTTTCCGTCATACTGACACGCTCTCTGAGTTCCCTCGGGCGTGGCTAGTTACGAGGCAAAAGTATTATTATCACTATGATTTTGTTAGAAAGCTAAAATCACATTCCTATCTTCACGAAAACATTGTCTTCCTCCTTGATACAATGTAAAGGATGTAAACCTGATATATACAGTGTAAAAGCTCTTCAAGTCACAATGTTTTCGTTATAACGCCTTTATACCATTTTTAATGACATCACAAATGTACATTAATTTTCCATATTCCATTTCTCATCATTCCCAACGTTTGGATGTTGAAATATATTGTCCCAATGTTCATTGTTGGATGTTGAAGTTTTTGGGCAGCAAAAGTCTCTGAAACAAAGGACATTCCTTTCACCATACTAGAGGGCCAGAGATAGATTCTCCTATCTCTAATTTATGGCAGTATTAAGGTGTCAAGACCGGAACATTCTGTTTTTCTCAATTTTCCATTGGTTCAAGTGATAGGTCAGCTGACCCTGTTGTACCAGAAAGGGCAGCTGGTTCAGAGTATTGCAAGTTGTACCAGTTCTGATGTTTTCTTTTGTCTTTTCCTGTTCGTCCAATGACTGTTGCTGTGTGTGGAATACCACTTTCTCTTGTAATTAACAGTTTGTCCAGTTTTCTGATTGGAACAACCATGTTTGTATTTGTATTTATTATGGATCCCCAGTAGCTGCCAAGGCAGCAGCTACTCTTCCTGGGGTCCAGCAAAATTAAGGCAGTTCATAACATTTTTAAAACATTACAATACATTCACAGATTTCACAACACACTGTGTGCCCTCAGGCCCCTACTCCACCACTACCACATATCTACAGTACAAAATCCATGTGTACGTGTGTGTATAGTGCGTATGTTATCGTGTGTGTGTATGCATGTGTCTGTGCCTATGTTTGTGTTGCTTCACAGTCCCTGCTGTTCCTTAAGGTTTTTTAATCTGTTTTTTAAATTTAATTGTACTACTTGCATCAGTTACTTGATGTGGAATAGAGTTCCATGTAGTCATGGCTCTATTTAGTACTGTGCACCTCCCATAGTCTGTTCTGGCCTTGGGGACTGTGAAGAGACCTCTGGTGGCATGTCTTGTGGGGTATGCATGGGTGTCCGAGCTGTGCGCCAGTAGTTCAAACAGCTCAGTGCATTCAACATGTCAATACCTCTCATAAATACAAGTAGTGATGAAGTCAATCTCTCCTCCACTTTGAGCCAGGAGAGATTTACATGCATATTATTAATATTAGCTCTCTGTGTACATCCAAGGGCCAGCCGTGCTGCCCTGTTCTGAGCCAATTGCAATTTTCCTAAATCCTTTTTTGTGGCACCTGACCACAGGACTGAACAGTAGTCCTGGTGTGACAAAACTAGGGCCTGTAGGACCTGCCTTGTTGATAGTGCTGGTAAGAAGGTAGAGCAGTGCTTTATTATGGACATACTTCTCCCCATCTTAGCTACTGTTGTATCAATATGTATTGATCATGACAGTTTACAATCCAGGGTTACTCCAAGCAGTTTAGTCTCCTCGACTTCCTCAATTTCCACATTATTTATTACAAGATTTAGTTGAGGTTTAGGGTTTAGTGCATGATTTGTCCCAAATACAATGCTTTTAGTTTTAGAAATATTTAGGACTAACTTATTCCTTGCCACCCACTCTGAAACTAACTGCAACTCTTTGTTAAGTGTTGTAGTTATTTCAGTCGCTGTAGTAGCTAACATGTATAGAGTCATCCGCATAAATAGACACTCTGGCTTTACTCAAAGCCAGTGGCATGTCATTAGTAAAGATTGAAAAAAGTAATGGGCCTAGACAGCTGCCCTGGGGAATTCCTGATTCTACCTGGATTATGTTGGAGAGGCGTCCATTAAAGAACACCCTCTGTGTTCTGTTAGACAGGTAACTCTGTATCCACAATATAGCAG